GCTGGGCCTGGTTGAGTGGCTGGGCAGCTGGTGGTAGTTATTCCCCATGATGAGACTTACAATCAACTCCATGGTTGGTTCTACCACAAGTAGCTGAGTAGCTTGTGCCTTTGGGATGTGGTCTGCCTCCTATATATAAGGAGAAGCCTTGGGAATGGTCTTGAGCCTTTGGCACGATTGTACCCTGCATGTAGCTGCATCATTGCTTGGCAGCCTGCTATGCTCTGACAACCTTGGGACTTACGATGGACTTAAGTTAATGGCCTGCCATGTGGTTTGGTAACATCGAGACTATGCCCTTTGTACTTGTCAATCTTGGGGCTTCTCAGCTTCAGCAATCAGCAGCTGTCTGAGTGAAGAAACACCTCTAGCTCCAGTGGGCCAGGAGCAGGAGGCAGAGCTGGACCCCATGGTTGAGGGGCTTTCACCCAGCCCCTAGAGCCTGGCACTTTGAACTTGGATTTAAAGCCTCCAAATTGTAAGAATAAACTCCTGTTTGTTAAGGCCATCCATTTGTGGTATATTCTTGTCAGAGTGGCTCTAGGTAACCAGAACACCACCCCTTTTCAGATTGAGAGTCTATCTGTGTAACAAATTGTAAATTAGCGTTATTACTATTACTGCAGGATTATGTATGTAATAGTCTTCTCCTTTGTTGCCTTTTCCTGTTGTTCTCCTCCCTATGTCTTCCCCTGCCTTGATCATTTTGTGCTGATCTCCTCCTTAGTGTATATTGCCTTTCCCTTCACCTAAGGTAATACCTGTCTGCACTCTAGTTGGTGATTTTCCGTAGCTTCCCCTCCCACCCCTGGTAATCTCCAAAGAACAATTCTTTATGTGTGTAAATCTTTTCTTAAATTTTTACAATAGTGGTCTCATACAATCATTTTTCTTTTGTGAAACTATGTCTTTTAAAGACCCAAAACCTATTTGGGAAGAAAATAAGAGAAAGAAAACATAAAATCAACCCAAATTTAACTCCTCTCCCCATATTACAGACCTGTGGTGCTCTGATCCTTTCTCCAAGCATACTCTCAGTCATTTACACATGATGGTGTGAGTCTATAATGTAGTACCTTATGTTTCTTATTGTTTTTGTGCAATTTAAAGTTGATATTTTGTTCTGGAACAAAAATAACTTATTTCCTGAAAAATGAATTTCAAACATATATCAACAGTGTTGGGGAGGGCTGGAACGAGTAGGATGTGGACATCCTGACACCTATTAACAAAGTGTTCCCACATTTTACAGGAACATAAAACTAATATTGTATCCTTATTCATAAACCAGATAAACTGGGCTATTTGTCCAGCCCTGAAATGTAAAAAGTAAAGTTTCAGTGCCAGAGGGGACACTAAAGAAAATATGATAGTTCAAGCCCAAGGCTGAAGGAAGGAATTATAGGAGAATTGTGGGGTTAAGTCTCTTAAAAGGCAAAAATGAAACCATTTTTCCAAGATTGGAGGACATATTGGGGCACTGTTTCCTAAACGTTCTTTATTCCTATTAACTGTCCCCATGTTTATCATAACTACGTACACACGCAAAATAGAATTTAATCAACATTTCACTTTAAATTCACTTTACATCAATTTATTAATTTTTAATATGATTGATCATAGGCAGTAATATCCATAAAATGACAGATGAAGTGTTCAAATTTTATGCTTTTCTAGTGCAGAATTAATATCAACATATCGTTAATATTTATTTTATCTTATTCAGCACTTATACTATCACAAATAGTACCCCTAACTTATTTGGGAGATCCTGTTAGAAAGAGGTGAATGGTTTTAGCACATGTTCTTTGTAGCTAGATTAAACATTTTCAAAAGGCTTTTCATAAAGTACTTTAACGCATCTTCATGAGCCCACCCTTCACTTGTGAGACAGGGAGTGTGTGTAACTGAAAAGATACTAGCTGGTACCTCATGTTCTGCCTGGATGCAGAGGGAAGGGCCAGGAAGAAGGAAGGCTCCATCTGGAGGTGATGCAAGGATGAAAGCCAAAGGCACAGTTCCCAGAAGTTTCAGCTGCCAACATTGGGCGGGCACCAGAACGATGTATCCTAATGATTTGTCTGTCCGTCTGTGTTTCCCAATTACTGTGACCAACACAGGATTTCATCTTGTTCTCTGTTGTAGAGAACATTAGAAGGAATGACATAGGTGTGGTTTAGTAAATAGTTTCTGAATAAATGCTTATGACTTTTGTTCACTTCCTTCTATTTCTGTATAGTGTTGATTTAGAGTACTTTTATAAAACATAAAAAGGGCTCAAATACACATTCTTGAGGGCAACAAGGAAAAAAAATGCACTGAGGAGTCTATATCCCCCGCAGTCCATCCTAGGAGAGGAGCACGTCTAGGACAGCTTCAAAGAGGCAGATAATATAGGTCTAATCTAGGGTTCTATGGGAAGAAAGAATGAAGAGAAAGAGAGAATTCTAAGCTCAAACAGAACTAAGAGAAGGACTAGTATAGCCATGCTCCTTTTCCTATCCCAAAAGGTGAGTATTATTCTTCTTTGTTCATAAAGAAAGATACAAACTCAGAAAGGTGAGGTGACCTGCCCATGGTCACACAGCTTGTCAAAGATAGAATGGAGAGCAGAGATCAGATTCCGTGTAGATCTCTGGACTGCAGTATGGTTCTCTCTAGCACACTGCCAAATTGAATGAAGAAAGCAGAGGAGGAAACAAGTTTATTTGACATGCACTCCACTGTGTTTGATATGGACAAATCCTAAAACCCAGTAAAATTTATAGACATGATTATTAATGTTTAAGAGGTTATAAATGAATGGTGATAAACTTTAATGGCTGAATTGTTAATAAACTGATTTAAAGTTCATCTTGAATTTAACAATTGGTTCTGTGTCAAACTGTTTAAATAACTAATAAACATAAAATACCTACAAAATTAATTCTTTGAATTGATTATTAGGTTGAATTTTCCAATGATTCTAAAGAGGTAGAATGGCAGGAAATATGAACAACTCTATTAGTACTAATTTGGGAGAGTTTATATAGAAACAGCTAATATCCCACATGAGGAGGGAGTTATGGTCAGAAAGTTTGCTTTATGCTGTAGTTCCAGAAACTGAGCTGCTAGAGCATCTCAATTGTAATAGGTGATGCTGTGGTCCTAGTGGAGCCCACCTGACACAAGGTGGTGTGGATTTTGTAAAGGCCTCAGAAATCAGCTTTATGTCATTTATTTAAAGATTCAAAACAGGTGGAAATAGGACCCTGGTGGTCAAAATTTTGCTAAATATTTAGATGTATCCTTGTGGGAGGGCTAATGAGATAAGCTGCAGCCTTACTCCAGTCCATTTTTTGGGGGAGGAAAGGAAACTTACACTAGCAAGCCATAGAATCAAGAAGAAATGTTTTGTAATAAAGGTTTGGTGTACTAACAGGCATCCCCTGGTAGCACAGGTAAGTGTTTGGCTGCTAACTGAAAGGCTGGTGGTTCAAGTCCACCCAGAGGGACCTTGGAAGAAAGGCTTAGCTACATACTTCTGAAACATCACAGTCACTGAAAACCATAGAGTACAGTTCTACTCCAAAACACATGGAGTTGCCATAAGTTGGAAATGACTCAATGGCAACTGATATTGGAGTAATGAGAATGGTGTCACTAGATATCCAAGCTCCTATGTACTTAGGCTTTTTTTCACTCCCGAATGTATAACAAAATGACAATCAACAAAAATGGAAAGGGGAAGGTATTTTTATGATGTAGCAAAGGTGAAGGATGATAGTAAGTCTTCTTCGATCAGGAAAAAGAGCCTTTGGCCACCAGTTAGAGAATTCCCCACATCCTCTCACTGCTGTAAGTCACAGAAACTGTCCTTAAAGTAGGATTTATGAGTCATGAACACTTAACCCAGTGAGGATATCCTGGACCGGGATGCTTCCTGTTATCAGAGTCCCTGTCAAGCCTATTAAGAATAGATTTGCATTTTGGTTAGGAAATTCTTGGACCAACCCAGTTTTGGGCAATTCCACTTCACCTTGGGTGGGGTAGTAAACCTTATAAAGAAGTCCTCTGCTGCACAGCTAGCATCCTCTTTGTGCTTGATTCCCAATCTACTTTGGAGAACTTGGTGAGTTTCATTTCTTGAATTCCTCTGTTTATTTGTTGCTCTGAAATATTTAAATTCGATCTGAAGACAACAAATTTTGGTGGGTCCAAAGTTATGATCAAGGGTGTTGTCATTTAGTGGATAGAAACTATAGATTGGTACACAATGATATAATGGCATACTTTTCAACTTGGGTTCTGGTCAAATTTGATGTCTATATTGAAAAAGAATAGGAGAGATTTGGGTTGAAGAAGAGAACAAGGTAATTTTTCTTTCTTTCTATTTCTTTTTGGAGTCCATTCTGCTGTGATTTTAAAGGCCATTGCATTCTCCCTTCGTAGCTTGTTGTTCTCTACCCAAGTTTTTTTTTTTTTTTTTTCTTTGTTTTTGCTTGCAAATTATGTGTTGACTTGGCAGTTCTGCTGAGCTGAGCTGAGCTATCTCATATGTGTGAGATGTGAGATATGAACAACTGGGTCAACTCGACTGATCTTCCTGGGTTATGATTTCTGTCATGTTAGTTGTTCTTGTGGCTCTATCCAAGTAGTAAGTCCTCATGAAAGATTATAATAGGATTTGCTTGTGAGGTTGCCCAGGCTTTCAGAACTTGTGACTGCCTTTCTTGAAGAAGTTATTTTCATCAAAACATCATTACTTGCTGCTTTAGAGCAGACATTTCTTTGGGAAGGTGGCATGAGAGAAGAGAAATTTCCCAGAGCCAAGGAAACAATCTGCTAAAGAGGGAGAAGAAAGAATTTATACAAAAGAGTTAAGAGATGAAAATATATCTTGGGGATTGGAGAAGTAACACTCAATGGAATTGAATGAGCTTCGGCTTTTCTGTCTGTAGGAGGTACTTTTTGTAAATACTGTATCTAATTTCTTCCAGATTCTCAGAGACTCCAGAAAGATGTCTTACCAGCAGCAGCAGTGCAAGCAGCCCTGCCAGCCCCCTCCTGTAGTGTGCCCACCTAAGTGCCCTGAACCATGCCCCCCTCCAAAGTGCCCAGAGCCATGTCCACCTGTGCAGTGCCCACCTCAGCCATGCCAGCAGAAATGCCCTCCTGTGCAGCCACAACAACCCTGCCAGCAGAAGTGCCCACCCAAGAGCAAGTAACATCTTCAAGATTCATGAGGATCATGAAAGGATAAGGACAATTGGCTCACCTCCTTCCACAGCTCCACCTTCATCCTCTCTTCAATGTTATTCATGGATACAGGAGCTTCTCCATAAGTTACCCATAATCTGCGTGTTGATGATTCCTGACACCTACTGGTGTTTTCCTGAGCTGTTACATTGCTACTCTCCAGGAGGTGACTGAGGAAGGGCAGTCCTCATCTGTGCCAGGATCCCAGTACTTCAAAAGAAGAGCAGCAGCACACTCCTCAGGTCTCATCAGATGATTGTCTTGATGTCTTCTGTGTCTGTGACCTGGGCAGGGATTTCTACCACTTGGGCAATTGTAACTTTCCTTTCACTTCCTGAATAAAGTATGTTAGTTGAGATGGAATAAGTATTTTATTGCCTTTCAAGCCTGCTTTTGTTAACAATATTATATAGTAATTTTAGTTGATTTCTCTTTGTTGATCCCAAGATCTATGCTCTCATACATAATCACTATAATTTGAATTTTGGATAATACCAAGGATTATTTCTATATTATTTTGAAGCAATGTAATTTTCTTTAGTTACTCTATGATTTGGGGCACAAATTATTTAGTTCCTCAGGATTTGACTTTCTCTACTGCAATGTGGGGAAAATAATATGTAGATCACAAATCTATCTTAGTTATAAAATTGAATAATGCCTGTAACTGTGTTGCCAGAATGCCCGACACAAAAATGAACAAACAGTACAGGCCCTTTTGCCACTGAGATGATTCCAACTCACGGCCATCCCATGTATTAGAGATTTACTACAGCTACATAGGATTTTCTTAGCTGTAATCTTTATGGAAATCAATTTTTAGGACTTTCTTCATGGTACTGCTGGGTATGTTCAAATTGCCAATGTTTAGTAGTAGTTGTTGTTGGGTGCCATTGAGTTGGTCCTGACTCATGGTGACTCTATACAATGGAACAAGACACTGCCAAGTCCTGCACCAACTTCAGAATCCTTGGTACATTTGAGCCCATTGTTGCGGTCACTGTGTCAATCCATTCATTAAGGAGTTTCTTCTTTTTCACTTTTTGAAAAGAAATAAAATACTTATTCCATCTCAACAAACACACTTTATCTAGGAACTGAAAGGAAGGAAACCCCTTTATCAAGCATGATGTCCTTCTGCAGGGATCGGTGTCTCCTGATAACATGTCCAAAGTATGTGAGCTGAAGTCTCACCATCCCTGCCTCTTAGGTTAGTTCTTGAGTTCAAACCATTTGTGCCACACAATGGACCTTGACTTAGAATCCACATGCAGTAAGTGGGAGTTTATTAGCAGCAGCAGGTCATCATTATCCTCATGGTTGCTCTTGCTAGAAAGAAGCTTAAACATAACTACTCTAGGAAATAAGATTTTAAAACTTTATCACCCATTCATACTTTGTTACTCTCTTTCTTTTCTACTTCATTTCATTTTTCTATGAGATAATGTAGATAAACAGCTTTTGAGATGTAGTGGAACATTCTACATAAAATCAGAGGATTTTTAAAAACATGGATAGTATAGAAGAAAAGGACATATAAAGAGTCCCAGAAGGCCAGTGTCTGCCTTATCTTCATGCATATCACTTGCTCTTCTTACTCCAACAGCATGCAAAAATGCAGGGTCCTGTCATTTTTGTTCATTTCTGAAATTAATTACTTGAGGGTTCTGATCCCACATTTGAAAAGTAATGCAATTTAATATGTTTATTTAGGTTTGAAAAGTGACTACTGCTCTGTACTTTGTTTTATAAGTATTTATTTTTCAAGTCAAGTAAGCTGCTCAAAGGAGGGATGTTCTTTAAACGTATTTTTCTGATGGTCCTATGTGTCCACATTGGAATAATTAATTGAGAATATACACATACAGTCACACATCATTTTTAAAGCAACAAAATCTCCACATTAAATCATACTATAAACCCACTGCCATCGAGTTGATTTTGACTCATAATGACCCTATAAGGCAGAGTGAAACTGCTATATAGGGTTTCCAAGGCTGTAAATCTTTATGTAAGCAGACTGACTCATCTTTTTCCCATAGAAGGGCTATTGGATTTGAACTGCTGGCCATTTGGTTAGCGATCGAATGCCTTAACCACTGCCTCACCAGAGTTCCTTAAATTATACTATATCTCTATATATTTACTATTAAGTGGATCTTACTCTTTCTATAAACGTAAAAGATACTTCCAAACCACTTTCCAAAGTCAAAGCACTGATCTCTCCTACCAGTAATATGCATGCCTGGATGACCAAAATAGTTAACAAACCTACCTGCTAATTGAAAGGTTAATGGTTTGAGTCCACCTAGAGGCCTCTGGGAAAGAAGTCTTGACCATCTTCTTTGGTGGGAAAAAAAAATAAAGCTCACTGCTATTGAGTTGGATCCGACTCCTAGTGGTCCTCCTTGGGTTTCTGAGGCTGTATCACTACAGAAGTAGATTTCCCAACCTTCCTTCTGAGGAGTGGCTGGTGGGTTTGAAACACCAGCCTTCTGGTTAGCAGTCAAATGCCTTGGGCACTGTGCCACCAGAGCTCCTTATGAAAAATCTATTGGCATATACATCTACTCTTACACACATGGAGTCACCCTGGTAACTTTTTTACTAGAAATATATGGGTGTTCCAGCTATTGCATACCTTTGTCAACATTTACCATTCTCAGTGTTTCAAGTTTTAGGCTTTCTAGAGAATATAAAGCAGTATCTTATTGTGATTTTAAGTTATATTGTCCTGATGACTACTGATAATAAGCACTTTTTTTACTTACTTACCTATGTTTGCACAGCATATATTGAAATATTTTGCCCACTTAAAAAAAAAAAATAAGTATCTTGCCTTTTGATTACTGATTTCTAAGAGTTATATGTATTCTGGACACACACACTTTTTTTTTGGGGGGGGTGAAGGTTTATAGAGCAAATTCACTTTCTATACAGCAGCTCACATACACTTTGTCTCATGACATTGACTTCAATTTACCACAATGTAACAGCTCCCCTCTCACTTCATCCCCATAGTTACCTTTTCCCTGTGTCCATCACTCCATGCACTCCTGCCTCCCCGAGCTGTCTCCCTGTGCATAAGCAGCTCTTCTTTCTCCCATGATTGTTCTCCCCAAGGAGTATATCTACCTCAGGTAAATGTTCAGCTCATATGCCTGTCTTTTGTTTGGCAGGAAGCCATAGACATGAGTTCAATTCCAGACCTGAAGGGCAGGTAGGGGCCATAGTCTCAGGGGTTCCACCAGGCTCTATCGGACCAGCAAACCTGGCTTTTTTTTTTTTTTTTAATGATTTTGGTGTTTGTTGCACATTGTTCTCCTCCTCTATCCAGGAACTTCTACATAGATCCCCCTCCGAGTGGTTGACAGTGGTAGCCGGGCACCATCTACTTCTGGTCTCCATGGTCCTATAGGCTGAGGATCACATGGTATACCAGTCCCTTGGAGTAATTGTTTCCATGAATCTTTGGTTTTATTCATTCTTCTTTGCTCTGGATGAGGAGAGACCCATCGTTGAAATTGATGACCACTTGTCAACTTTTATGATCCCAGCTGCTACTCTCCAAAGTAGGATGTGGAACAATGTTTTTGTATAATATGTTATGCCAGTTGAGCTTGAAGTCCCCCTTAAACTATGGTCCCAAGCCCACAGGTCCAACTACTCACTCCCTCTGTGTAGCTGGCTATGGCTTGTCCCTTGTCAGCTCTACTATATACCTGGGAATTTTAACAGAACATACAAATACACTTGTAGCAACATTGTCTGCCAACCCTGTACATGGTGTTGGGCACACTCACCTCTGCATAGACATACCTAATAGTTCAGCCTGTCCACCCTTCTATCCACCTGTTTATCCATGTTTGCCTTCACTGACAACGCAGTACTATATGAGCAAAAGGGTTCATCTTTGTTATCTGTACCTCCCATGCACCTCTCTATGTTTTCGTCTTCCTAATGCCACTATGTTGATCACTCACATTTGACACATTGCCCTTCCCTTCCCCCAAATCAATACTTATCTCTACCTATCTAACAGTGTTCCCTCCTCTCCCCTCCCACCCCTGGTAACCAACAAAGACACTTTCCTTCCATATATAAACCTTTCCTTGACTTTTTACAATAGTGAACTAATACTATATTTGTCCTTCTGTGATTGACTTATTTCACTCAGCATAGTGTCCTCCAAGTTCATCCATGTTATACGGTGTTTTGCAGATTCTACGTTTTAGGGTTGCACAGTATTCAATTGTATGTATGCACCATAGTTTGGTTATCTATTCTTCTGTTGATGGGCACCTAGGATGTTTCCATCTTTTTGCTATTGTAAATAGTGCTGTGATGAACATGGGTGTGCATATATCTGTTCTTGTCCTGGCTCTCACTTCTTTAGGATACATACCTAATAATGGACTGGCTGAGTCAAATGGTATTTCTAATTCCAACTTTTTAAGGAATCATCATACTGCTTTCCATAATGGTTGTACCATTTTACAGTCCCAGCAGCAGTGTATGAGAGTCCCAATCTCTCCACATCTTCACCAGCATTTGTTATTTTCTGTCTTGTTGAACTTTGTTACTAGTGCTGGGGCAAAATGGTATCTCATTGCTGTTTTGATTTGCATCTCTCTAATGGCTTATGATCTTAAGCATTTCTTCATATGTTTGTTGGCTGCCTGAATATCCTCTTTGGGGAAGTGTCTGTTCATGTCTTCTGTCCATTTTTTCATTGGATTATTTGTCTTTTTGTTGTTGAAGTGCTGGAGTTTTCTATAAATTCTAGAGATAAATCCCTTGTCAGATATGTCATTGCCAAATATTTTTCCCAATCTGTAGGTTTTCTTTTGACTCTTTTGCAGAAGTCTTTGGAAGCACATAAAAAATTGGCTTTTAGAAGGTCCCAGTCATATAGTTGATCTTCTGCTGTTTGTGCTTCTTGGGTTATGCTCAATAGTCTATTTATGTC